AGGGGAAAGTGCAGGGGAAGCCCCGCAAGAAAAAAAAAAATGAACAGCCAGGTTGTCCTAAAAAAGTAACTGCACGGATCTATCTCCAGCTCCCTGGGGAGCCAGATCCTGCCTGCATGAGAGATATATAACCATGGACTATCTCATGCCTGTCACTCTCAGGAGATGCACAGATCTGGCAGAAAGGTTTGGACTGGGATCAAAAAAATTTGTTAATACAGGAAGTACATTTTGGGGTGTGTTGGCTTCTGCTGGGAGGGGCTTGTCCTCTGAGGCTTGTACTTACACCAAAAAAGGGAAGGGCTCAGAGCCTGCCAAACCCAAGACCAAACTGCACCCATGTGGAGAGAAACCCACTTAGAGGTGCATAAACCAAGCCAAGTACCCTTTAACCCACCAAAGCAGGTCCCCAACAAGAAGGGTAGAGGGGACTTGTCAACTGTAGATCCGCCTACCTTGGAGCTGGTGCCTTGAACCCCCAGAATAGGAGAAGCAGCCTGTGATAGAGTCAGGCGGCGTGGCACACCCCTTGCCAGCTGGACTTATGCCCCTGCCCCACTCCTCTTTGCCATTGTGGATTGCTGGCAAAGCATAGTATTCATGTCCTGCTCTAACACCGCTTGCCCTCTGCCCGAGAGCCCAACGGGTCATCCGTCAATTCCTCTAGCTGGACACTCCGGGGGACTCCATCTCCATGGCTTTCCATGGCCGAGCAGTTGCATCCCAGCCTTCCATCACCAAGTGCAATGCAAAGTGTCAGATGCAGTGGTGTAAAGCACGCCGCCACGGACTCGAGAACAGGAGACGTGTTCTCTGGAGTGACAAATCACGCTTCTCTGTCCGGCAATCCAATGGACGTGTCTGGGTTTGGCGGTTGCCAGGAGAACGGTACTTGCCTGACTGCATTGTGCCAAGTGTAAAGTTTGATGGAGGGGGGATTATGGTGTGGGGTTGTTTTTCAGGGGTTGGGCTTGGCCCCTTAGTTCCAGTGAAGTGAACTCTTAAGGCATCAGCATACCAAGAAATTTTGGACAATTTCATGCTCCCAACCTTTTGGGAACAGTTTGGGGATGGCCCCTTCCTGTTCCAACATGACTGCGCATTAGTACACAAAGCAAGGTCCATAACGACATGGATGAGTGAGTTTGGGGTGAAGGAACTTGACTGGCCTGCACAGAGTCCTGACCTCAACCCGATAGAACACCTTTGGGATGAATAAGAGCGGAGAATGCGAGCCAGGCCTTCTCGTCCAACATCAGTACCTGTCCTCACAGATGCGCTTCTGGAAGAATGGTCAAACATTACAATAGACACACTCCTAAACCTTGCGGACAGCCTTCCAGAAGAGTTGAAGCTGTTATAGTGGCAAAGGGCGGCCAACTCAATATTGAACACTACGGACTAAGACTGGGATGCCATTAAAAGTTCATGTGCGTGTAAAGGCAGGCGTCCCAATACTTTTGGTAAATATATATATATATATATATATATCTCATTTTTTTATGGGTCGTTTGTGTGCGCTGATTGCCACTGGAGCAGGGAGGCTGAGAGGCACTTGTGTGCAGTGTGGAGTAGCGATGAAGGAAGTGTGCAGGAAGGGCTGGCCGCACACGATGACAGGGTGAAAGACAGTGGGTCAATACATCGGGTGGTGTGTGAAGTTACTTCTATTGGCAATGCGTTTTCGGAGCCCCTGACCACACAGCAAAGGAGTCTTTATATCTCCATATACTAAACATCATCAAATACAAAGAAGTGAAGCTGCTGCTGGCTCTGTGACTGTCACTGTCTGCGATCACCCCTTGCTGTGATGACAGGACTGTGACCACCTAATCTGCTGTTGAGGGTCTGCTTCAGACCACGAGGGACCCATCAACAGCAGTAACTCAAAGCACTGGTACCTTCACGGACCAGCGCGCATTGTACCGCATGACGGGATTATCTCGGCGCTGGTCGTTAACGAACTGAACAATCATGACAGCATGATCCCGTCAGCGGTCAGGAAGTGTTAAAGTATTTACATATTCTTAAAAAGCAGTAAAACAGCTTTAAAGTAGAACTCGTTATTTTCTTTCAATTGTTGTTTTTCTCTAATAAAAAAATGTATGAAGTTCTACTTACCCTCTCCACGCACCAGTGCTGTTCCCAACTTCCTGCTTGATTCAACGCTGGCAGTCCTCTTAGGCAGAATAAAAATGACCGTCTCTCTGACCAATTTTCCGTGAGCCCAGCTTGTCTTTACAATAGCAGTCGTGAGTGTGTTTACATTTTCTAACCGTGCAACTACTTTCGTGTAAAAGTGATTTAGGTGGCAGTACAGCTATCAGTTCTACAGTGTTCTAAAGCTGAGGGCCCCTCAGCATGTCTCCTGGGCTAACCTGTGCCCTATGGGAGTCTGTGGCATCTATAAACATCCTTTAGGATGGGGTCGGAGATCTCTACTGTAATGTATAAACCTGGAGGTGCTCAGCTTCAAGCACTTACATTTTCAGAACTGTCAAACCCTGGCTGCTGTGGCCAGATAGCAAATCCAAAACTGTTTGTCAGCAATGAGTGGGTTCAGTTTCGGCATATCGTTGAAGAAGCTTATTACAGTGAATGAAATGCTTGCAGACACCAGGACTCAGATTCTGTATTCACTCAAATAATTTGCCCTCAATCATCTGGGGGTCTGTGTGAAAATGATAACATAGCAGCTGGGTCAGGAGAAGCCGGTATATAGTAGAATAACCAGAAGTAGAATAAGTGTTGAATTCCTGTCAATCTTGCAGCACAATGACTAGAAGTAATAGAACGGCTAAGAGACAGAGGGGGTGGGGGCAAACATTTATGTCATTATTGTAAATTGAAAAAAGGGTTCATATTAAAAATTAGTAACAGGGTCTCTTTAAAGCAGACAGTCAGTTGCGATATACCTGTTGATCTGGGCTATGTAATGGGTAGATCACGACCTCAACGGGCCTCCAACTCAGCAGGTGTGCAGAGCCAGGATCTGATCAGCCCGTTCCTAGTTTTAAAAAATTTTTTTGCGGGTGCATGGAACTTTAAGGCATGACACATTAGGAATCTACCCAACGAAGTTTCATCTTTTATATTTAGCAGAAAATGTGGAAATTATATTTTTATGTGTAATAAAAAAATGTGTTTACATTTTAAAGTCATGCAAGGATGGATAGATATTGGCCTTACTTAGCGGATGATTTAAAAATCATCCACCCCAACATATGCTGGCCGAATGCCATTACATGCAGCAGCCTGTCCTTTTCCATGGGAGTACGCGGCTGTACGCCGCCCTACGCTCACCCCAACTGCCCGTACTCGTATGCTGACAGGATGGATCCTGTCTGCATCCGAGCAGGGACCCACGCACAGACGGGCAGTTGAAGTGAGCGTAGGGCGGCCGCGTATTCCCATAGAGAAGGACGGGGGCTGTGTACGAATCACATGCAGCACCTGTCCTTCCCGTGAACGACCCGATACAACCGTGCACGCAGCACGGATCTGTACGGGTCGACCTTTTCTCGTGTGAATGAGGGCCAAGTGCATCTGAAGCCAAACTTTTTTTTTGTTTCCCTCTTTTGGAAGGAATGAAGAAGGATTAGAACTAGGGCTGCAACAATGAATTGATTCAAATCGATGAGAATCGTCAATGATTCTCATTATCGATTAGTTAATTTTCGATTAGTTGCCACAGCCACTCTGCTTCACTATTCTCCTCCTCACTGGGAGCCGCTGCCAGAGGGGACACAGAGCACTGCAGCCGGTGCCCAGCGGGGAGTAGAGGCCGCTGTGCCTCATCATCCCCCCCCCCCCCTGCTGCCCTTTGCCTCTGATGCTGACCACAATCCTTCTATGCTGCCCCTGTTCCTCCGCTGCTATGCCCCCTTTTCTGCCGGCAATAGAAAGCCGACATCAATGGCACCCCAAATGCACTTCCCACCTGCAGCGTGATCGCATGCACTGGGATGTGCGGTACTGTAATGCCGTGAGTTCCAGTGAGATGTGATTGAAAAAAAAATGTGCATGCAGGTTCATTCTAAAATCAACTTTATGATTTTAACACTCCATTCGTATTTCTTTTTAAATAAAAAAAAGATGGTATTTAATTTTTTTATATCTGATCAAAAAAATACATTTGGCCAAATAATCGTTTGTGAAAATATGTTAGTTGCAGCCCTAATTAGAACACCTGTCAGGTTTTTATTGCCAATGGCAAAAAGTCAGCACACAAACAATTAAGGCCTCAGATATTTACAAAGGTCAAAAAGCAAAAATTACATAGAACAAACAACATAGTGCAAAGAGAAAAGCTAAACCACTCTTTTCTTTGCGCTATGTAAACATCCAAAGTTTTAACAGTTTGTGTGATGGCCATTTTTGGCATTGGATTTAAATGGCATAACCAAAAGGCCACACACCATCTAGCTGGCATAGAAAAAGATACATGTGTTGATTGGTTTTTTTTTTTGTCCAGGTTTTTATTACCTAAGAGCCGCACAGGCCACCAAGCCACCTTGAGACATCAGGGCGCCAACCCAGAACACCACAAAATATATAGCTTCATATTATTTTGTATTGCTGTATAATGTATTGCTGTAGTCCTTACTCCCTATCCTGGCTGCCTCTCCTCACTATTCTCCCCCCCCCCCAAAAAAAAAAAAAAATAATAATAATTGTAGCACTAGAGTGTTTGGGTTTCACTTGAAGAAAAGGTGGCACCCTCCCTTTAGCTAGAGCTACAAAGAAATTTGACTACATTTCGACGTTTTATGAAATTGCAAACATTGCAAATGAGCCGTTTAAACATAAATATACCCCTACTTGAACTGTCTGCCACCTAACTTGTCATTTAAAAGCAATGTAACAAGTGGACACGTTCACATGGTCCCAAGTATAAGATTAGGGTCACACGCAGCCAGCATATTAGCAGAAAAGGTGAACGGACAAAGAACGCGATTGTTGCAACTCTACAGCCAAAAAGTTGTAAACACGGTCACAGACATTCTTGCTTTTTTTTTTTTTTTTTTAATCCTGTACATTCGGTTAAGTTCCACTGCCTAGTCAAAAAAGAGAACATAAGGTTATGATTAGGCGAAACATTACCCCAGACGCCCAGTTCCGCAACCTCTGGATAAATCTTGTAGCAGAAGACATCTCTCTTGTCAAGGACACGCAGGGTGGAACATTCAAATGCACTGTCTAAAAGAGGCGGACCTAATTACGCCTCCGACTGGTGGCGTCACATCCGGTGACTTGCCAGTTGCAGATTTTGATCTGTTGGAGCTAGTGCGCGTGTGCCAGCCATCTCAGTGTTTGAATCTACATCGAGTTATCGAGCTTCCGTCACGGCGCCTGCGTGGCTTCACAACCCCATTAAGTGCTACAACCCCCTCACTGCGCCTGCGCGGTCACCCAAAAGCGCGCCCAACCGATGACAAAGCATTTATTCTGACAGTGGCATGGCTAACGCATGTGTACTAGCGCCATCTGGTTTAAATCTCCCCCTGGCAGCTACTGGCAAGTCACCACATGTGACGTCACCAGTTGGAGCTCTCGACGAGTTGGAGCTTACATATTCTACTTCCGGTCTTCAGTAAGATGGCAGCCAGCTTGTGCAACTTTAAAATCATCGTAATCATAAGGGTCACAACCCTTCTTGTTGACACAGAAACCGATAAGTCAGTTAATTTCGTGCAACTGTAAAGTGAGTTTCTAGTCACCGTTAGCTATCACATGCATTTTTACCGGCTGAGCCACCAAGAACAGGCTATGCCTAAACATCATTAGCCCCGCCCAGTCTCTCGGAGAGCTATAAAAGAGTGCTGGGGAAACACGTGATCCTCTCTTCTTACTAAAATCCGCCATCATGGACACAGGCCGCGTGCAGCCGATCAAGCTCGCTCGGGTATTTCATGCTTCCCTGTTGATGTGTTTAGCTGTAGTAATGTCTCGTTTCTGGCGCTCTGTGCCAGTTAGTATGTACAGGATTGTAGCTTTTTGGGCAAAAGGACATTGATCTGGTACCGTTTGCCTGTGGCCGTGTCTGGCCTCTTGGACATGGGCAGAGTCTTCATTTTGTAAAAGATGGTGGAAGTAATCATGCCATGTGCCGTGTCTGACTTGGTGCAACTTTGATTAGTACACTGCGATAGAAATGTTGAGAGAATGATGAAGTGGGGCGTAACTAAAATCTAATCCCGAAGCTGCATGTTGCCTTTCACGTTTGCTGTAGTGATTTCTAGTTGCTGACGCGCTGCAAGCATCTTTTTATCACTTCCTGTGCATTGACTGAATAGTATACTTATTCCCGGTGGGGACAAACAAGTATTTCAGGCAGGCCTTCACTGCTCGGATCCACCTTGGCTCCCTGCAACACCTTACCTTTACGCAGTGTAAATTGGGGGGGGGGTTGCCTTTCGTAGAATGTGTCTCTGATCCTACCGTCATGTTCTCTATCACATATCCACACTTGAGGCTGCAGGTTCAGGGGCTTTCACTGGGCAGGCGGTGGACCTGGGGCCAGTTGGGGGACTTGGGCTGGGGTAGGGCATCATATCAGGACAACGCTGGATTCACAGGGTATGCAAGTATGTTTTTTGGTGAGAGCCCAGCATAACGTAACAGGTAAGAGGGTTAAAGGGGGCTTCCCCTTTAACATTCTCTCCCCATAGGCATTTTTCATTGTGGTCACAAAGGGGTTGAAGCACCGGCATGGTAATCCAGTGTTTAGTTGTGTGGCTTGTGTCCCTTAAGTTGCAGCAGTGAGTTACAGCGCCTTCTGTTACAGCCCAGGCATTTTTACTTATATATTTTGTTTTTATATTCATAGAGTGTACACTCCATTCATGTCTTTGTATTGCAGAGTCGTGACATCCAATGGCAGTTGTCTGCATTTTACCACAGCCCACTGCACCTCACAGCTGAGGTGTCAACGGTGCACATAGAAAGCAATGGTCTTCTATGTGCTTGGCGTTGGTGTGGGAAATAGGGCTGGAACAACTAATTGCTAAAATCGATGACAACGATTCTTATTGATTTGTAAACGATTCTCATCGATTAGTTGAATTCTCTTCCCCGCCGCCGCTCTGCTCCTCTGTTCTCCTCCCTGCTGGTGCTGGCTTGCAGCGGTCTGTTACTTTCAATTCCTGCTGCTCTCCCCGCCTGTATCGCCAGAGGCAGTGGGTATGCAGATCACTGCTGCCCATCGTGCCCCCACTTCTGCTGAGGTGGGGAAAAATGTCATTTTATGTTTTGACCTGACAAAATTCTGCTGCGGTGGCACTCCAAAAAAGCCTCCCACCCACAGTGTGATCACCCGCACGGTACCACATTGCTGTGCGATTGCAAAAAATGTGCATGGGTTTTATTTTGAAGTAAACTGTAACACTGCATTTGTGTATTTTAAATTAGAGCTGCAACTGTTATCATCGATTGGTTGAGGGAGAGCTATTTTATACAACCAATCGATTAGTTTGAAAAATAATCGGCCAATTAATCGATTACAAAATAATTAGTTGCAGCCTTAAAGTGACATTAAACCCTCAGATTTTTTAACATAAAATACTGTAATGTGTGCCTTACTGTAATCCATGGTAGTTTCCCTTCTCTTTGCTGCTCTTCCTTTTTAAATCCTTATCTCTTCTCATGGTGGGCAGAACTTCTGTTTTGCAGCAGACTGCCTGTCTCTGAAATGGATACATGGTGTCTGTGAAGGTTCTGAGCCAGCACTACAGGAAGAGGCACTCAGCTGCAAAGGGAAGTTTCCCCCCTAGCATGAGAACAGATACAGATTTAAAAGGAAGGGAAACTACCATGGATTACAGTAAGGCGCACATTAAAGTATTTTATGTTAAAAAATCTGAGTTTAATGTCGCCTTAAGTAATTTAGCAACTGAATGCTGCCAGTCACCATGTAATGAGCAACTTTACTGAGGGCTCATTCACACTAGCCACCTCATGACTACTGTTGCCATTTGACTATACTATGAGTGTAAAAGTGCAACTGTGGTCAGTCCTTATCTAATGAATGTGATCTATGCATCGGCTCTTCTTGGCTTCATTTGGGCATTTTTGTTTAAGTTGTGACACTCTCATTGATGCAGTAATATATCAAATAGTTTTTGCCCTGTATTGCTTTACCTAATTTATCATTTGCCTACAGTTTGCTTTATTGCATTTACCATTGTTTTGAAATGTCTATTTTCTTGTAGGTAACTAAAGTTCTTGGGAGAACTGGATCCCAGGGGCAGTGTACTCAGGTTGGTGTCTGTCAGTGTTTTGTTGGCAGCTAGATATTTTAGCAGACTGGATTGATATGTAAAGATTGCGTACCAATCTACAGTTGGCTAAAATATCTAGTTTAATATCTTGATTGACTGAATAGATTACAAAAATGTTTGTAGCTGCTATAAAGTTTAAAAAGGCTTTTCATGTTTGAGGAAAGCTTTATGCAAACCTATTTGTTCTGTTAGATCATTTTCAATGGTATATTTATCTGTTAAGTGCAAAGAAACCTGCTGACCCTGCAAGAAATCCAGTGAGCACCTAACTTCCTGTAGTCTGATCCTAAAATATTTCAGGAATCCATTTCATGTTAACTTTAACCTGTCCTGGCCACCACTTGTGCCAGCACAAATTTGGAATATTGGATGGGACAGATGGAAGTTGCATTATTTTGATAGTAAAACTATGCAGCATTCCTTTTACGTGTTATCTTTTCTTTGTACTTGCCCTAAAAAAAAAATGCTTTGCCAAAAAAAAGTTCCAAGGGTAAGCAGTTTTCGCAATTTATCTTCCAGATCTGTGTATCTCCTGAGTGACAGGTCTAAACAGCCCCCTGATATTTCCCACTTAAAATAGAATAAGAAATTGAGGACACAAAGTCCTCAATCTCTTTATCTGCAGCCTCTGTTCTAAATGAATGGAAAGCAGAGGCCTCCTATTCATTCAGAAACTATTTACTATCATCCAGTTTCTGAATGGGGAGGAGCCTCTGTACTACTCCCCATTCAGACGACCCCCCTCGAAAAAGTAGAATTTCTAACTGAACCTCTCATGCTGCCCTGGAAGATGAATTGGGAAAACATAAGTTGGGTACCTGGTAAATGTAATTTGTTTCCAGGAATCTTCCAAGGCAACACAGATTCCTGCCCTGCTTTTTAAGTGGTGTGGTTTAATATGAATTTCAGTGTTACTGTCTGGTGGTCCTTTCTGCCTTCGGTTCTATCGTAATACTGAGGTGGTTAGGAGAGACAGCCCCTTTTCTTCTAATTGGGGATGATGCGTTTCAGGTGTGGGTGGATCCTTTCAGATGCTGCTCTTAAAGATTCCTGCAGACGGTTACCTAACTTATGTTTTTGGTCACTGGCCCCCTCAAGTTGCCTGCACCACTCAAACCTGTGGGTAAAGGGTGGTGACCTGTCCTTGACAGTACTCCAAATTAGTGAATGCTTCTCTCCACAGTAGGCAAATGTTGCCTCAAACTCTTTTCAAGGGCTTATTCAGGGTTGCACGCTACAATTCAGTCCCATGAGGTAGTTCCAATGGATCCTGTGAAATCTTTGGCTATCCTATAAGATTTGACACAGCAGACTATGGCTATTAATCCTGTTGGGGGAGGTAGAACAGGGCTTTTCCCATATTGTAAGAAAGTCCATAGGAAAATGGTCAGATTTAAAAAATGAAGCGCCTAAACATGCTATACAAGAGTTCACATGAATGCCATTTGCTTGGTCAGAAATATCCTTACACATAAGTGTTATATGGCAAGCATCATGAGTCTATTGATGCCATTGAACAGGTTGGGAATCTCAAGCATCTTTGTTTAGTGGTGAGAATGGGAGTCAAGTTTCCCACCTTCAGTTCTGAGCACTTTGTTCAGGCTCTCCAGCACTAAGAATTTTTACCAAGGTGATTGCAAAAGCTTAGGCTCCTTTGTGGTTACAGGGCATGTCAGTGGTCTCCTATCTGGATGATCTGCTGTTATTTGCCACTGAGACCTGGTCTGCTACTGGCTCACTTGGAGAGTCTTGGTTGGCTCCTAAACCCACAAGTCAATTATTCATCCTTCTCGGGTAGTACTTTTTTGGGATTTGAAAAAATTACTAGTTCAGAAGGGGTGTGGAAGAAACTATTAAAGCTGCTGTGGAAGTATGTGCAGGTACTTTCATAAAACAAAGATGGCTGCTAGCAGGTATAAAGTGGCAGA